GGGGGGGGGGGAGACCCTATAAACGATCTTTGGGCATTTCCCTGAATGTTTATGGGTGAAGGTGAGAAAGGGCCAGCGGGGCAGAAGAGGGAGAGAGTGGGGGGGAGGGGGCAGTAGGCCTATTATAGATGGTTTGCCATCACTTGCTCTAAATTAATCAATTAATAGTGGTAATAAATGTTTCTCCTCTTTTCTTCTCATCAATGTTGTTGCTGCTCGGTTTGATAACGATTCTTCTTAAAATACCTTTTGTCTTTAGTGTATTTCATTTTGTTACAATTAAATTCCATTAGTTTTTAGGCCTGCGCCATGTTTACAGAATGAGAAAATGTAATTTGGTCTATCGATTATTGAAATGTGGCATAAGTCCAACCTGGCAGTTTCTCTGTATGCCAATTTGGTCTGTTTCGCACAGCTTTACACAATAATAGAGGGGAGCCTCTAAATCAGAACTATTAGATTCACTTTTTAAACATAAATAAGATGAACATACTTACTACAGAAACAGTTACTTTTTTAAATTGCAGAATACACTCTTAGAAGTAGTCAGATTTTCAATCGTTGATTAGTGGCCTGATACCAAAGAGGTTATAAACATACAGTAGGCTACTGTTTATAACCTCTTTGCCAAATTTTAAATAGCCTATTTATTTACATGTACTCACAAGGAGATTAAAAGTAGTTCTAAACTCCTTGCATACACATTATAGATCTAGGTCGTGTCTGGGGACGTGACTCGTAGAATGTTTCTCTAGGATTTTGACGTAAATGTGATCGTTCTTCTTTTCATGAAAAAATAATGCATTTGATACAACATGTTAACAGCATGTGCGGGAAAATAAATTATTGATATATTGAATGTCCGACCAAGTCATTTTTCGAATAATAATTGGCCCAATGCTATTTTACTGCTTCCGAGTCGCAGTTTTTAGCCTGTGTTCTCTCTTCTAAGGACTACCTGGCAAAGTTACGCGTTTATAGTTACCAAAATGGCGGTGTTATGGTAGACTCGGAGACAGAAGGGCTGAAATGTTTAGTGTATCAGAGCACGATATACCTGCCTGACTTTTCCGTATTGCTTCGAGAAACCTACTAAGCATCATTTAGAAGGTGACGGCATTATACTAAACAGTTAATTTATGCACATTGTATTACGGTCTTTGGAAAGTAACAATTGCCCTGCCTTTACCTCCAAAATGAAAACCGAACGAGCCCTCCTATTTTTTTAAAATAAGATGTGACGTTTCTGTTCCATCCACCGTTCAGTAACCAATTATGCATTTACATATTTATATGTTTTGCAGACGAAGACTCTATGGTATTGTGTGATATTCTTAAATTCGGCTCGCAATAGGATTTGGGATTCAAGCTATTGTATGAAAAATTACTTTTGGCTTTGTTTTGATTTCTAAGTACTGAAAAGACAACTTGTCAGAACATGTTAGATTATTGTAAATTTGACAGTTAATCAATATTCTAATCTACTTAATCAACAAAATTAACATGCATATAAAAGATCATGAATTGGGAATGGGAAGATAATGGACTTTGCAACTATTAAGTTACTCTCAGTCTCGATCAGTGCGCCTTTACAGCACACCAGTTCAGCTGGTGCACATAGTCATCGCTCTGTTGTTTACAGTCGGGACAAAAAACTGCAAAACTCCAGCAAATTCATCTTCTTTATTATATTTAAACCATGTGTTTACTGACAGGATCATTCATTTCTATTGAGTTTTGTGTTCATTTTATGCAAAATAAGTTTAATAGGACGAGACGAGTTATTAAGACGATTAGTTTGTGGTGCTGAAAAGTTGAATGACAAAATTAGCTGTTTACGAAGGTGGAATAGCCTTTCATATACTAAAAATTATAGCAGAGAAGCAAATGAAGCAAATCTGTGTATGTGATGTGCAGACTATTGATCTCATGTACATCATTTAGTGTAATGAATATTAACTGATGTGTCAACAGCTTTGTACTTAAATGAATAAAAATAGGATTGTTTCCACTAAAATTTTTGTGTTTTAGTGGTCAGGATTTTTTCTTTGAGCTTCTCATGATTCATTTAATGCTGTATTTTATCAGTACAAATTTAAGGTTTAGCACTGGCTTGCTGTCGTAACCATGTGTCTGACACAATAGTTGAATTAATGATAATAATTCAATATACTAGATATAGCGCAAATTCCTGCTCAACAGCAAGCTCCTATACACTTTGCAATATATGTATTAATTGGTGCACAGCATCACTTGGTTGTTTACTGCCACAACAGAAATCTATGAAATGCTGGCCAATGCATGTTGTCTATTGCTAAACTTTTAATTTATGTTTTTATTGCATAAAACTTTCATTTCTTAGAACTTAAGTTTTTTAAACATCTTATAAATAGGAATTAAAATACGAGTGAAGTTAAAGGAAATTTGTGATGCTGAAAACTTGGATAACAAGACTAGCTAGATACAATCATAGAATAGCTTTCCAAGAGTTAAAAAGTGTTTTTATGAAGTTTTTACGTATTTCACATTTTATTTCAGATGGCTGCTAACTTGAAAGGAAACTTGGGCCTGAAAAGTGGTCGTAAGTACTGTTGGCAATTATTTTCATCATGCCTTTCTTCTATCAAAATATGATTAAATGGCTATCTTCAGGTACATGTTAGTAAAAAAGAAAACATTTGTAATACGAGGAGGATCCTCTTCACTTGACGATTAAAATGTTTATTGTGTGTTTTTTTGGATGCGATTTGGATTTCTTTTCTAATTTCCTTTACAGACTCATTCTATCAAATTTTAGTCATTTCTGGCTGTGATGTGACATTTTTATGTTGTTCTATATTTACAAAAATGAGGCAACATAAACTTATCTCATAAACTTGTTGTATCTCAAGACATATGATTCAAATTTTATGTTGATAATCGAGAAATGTTTGGTTTGTTTATTTCAAGAATCTATTTTTAGTGTAATAATACCTTATTTACACTCAACATTATTGTAATTTTGAAGTATGAAACTTATTCCTCTCTCTGTCTCCCCTTTCAGTTGAGTTTTTCTGTCTCTGTAGTGTTTTCTTGATTTAAATGATTGAGGAATGGACAATTATTGCTATTTTCTTTTTTTCTCTTTTCTTACTCCATTTCAAACTGGATGAAATGAGCTGGGCAAGATGATATTGAAAACAGACATGAAATATGAAGTTTAGTACAGAGACATTGTGTTTATTTTCTTTTGTTCTTCCAGCACTGGCCCCAACATCTGCAAAGCTGACCACTCAATATCTGGTACTGGATCATATGAACAATCATTTCAACAAAATTGCCAAAGCTAAATGTAAGCTGAATTTCTTCTTTTTTTTTTTTTTCTTCTTACCAAAATATGAGTCTGCTTTAATTTCGTATACTTTTTTCAATGCCTCAGCCAAGGAGCAGAAGAATAGCCCTCATAAGGATAAATTGGTGTAGGTCCTTCTCCCACTGCATGATCTGCATGGCCTGGTGACCTAGGGGCAGAAAATCATACTGACCATGACAGTTTGGTTGATCGAAATTCATCAAAATTAAACTTTGACCTGATACGGTGAAAACATGGTGTTGTTAGCCTAGTGGTTAAGCTACCAGATCTGTAATGTTGTTTGAATTATTAAAGTTTATGAGAGAATGAGTACTTTTTTTAAGCTACCACAGATGATTCAGAATTTTAAAAAATTCTATACAGGTGATGGCGTAGCAGCAAATTCTACTCTGAATGTTTGTTCAGTTATGAGAAATTTGAGAAAATGGTAGTCTTTATGTTTATTTTAATATCAGGTCATTTTTCTTCGAAAGCAACCGATTTTTTCATTTAGTATTCTTTTGGGTGCATCATTAGGTCAGTTGGTATCATGGAGGACTACTAAACAGATGACCCTAGTTCAAATACCCAATGACACACTCTCAACGAAGGTTGCTTGGGAGAGTTTTAAAGACCTTCCACTTAAATAGATATATTGATTTTCAATTCAGAGGTCCCGGCTCATAAATAACCTTACAGTGTTACAGTAAAGATATACAATGGCTAATGGTCTTTTGTTTCATCTTTCTTCTTTGTAGCTGCAATTGATTCAAGGCCACCCAAAAGTTTAACATCAAGTCAAAAGAGTAAGTATGCCAATTCTAAAGTAATCCTATGCCATTTAACATGCTTTATTTGTTTCATATTCATTTTTATTTACTTCCATGAGGGAGACAGTAAGAAAGATATATACATTTTTCATGGAGATAAATACAATATACTTATACCAGGAGTGTTTCTTGAAAAATTCTCTGTATACCACAAAGCATAGTAAGCTTTGTTTGTTACCCTTGCTGTGAACTGTACTAGCTCTTCCATGCACTCAGTTGGCCGCTGAGGTGCAGTTAGTCATGATTTGACCAACAGTAGACGTGGGAGGTTCAAATCCTAGAGGAGTCTGATCACATTTCTGGGATTATATCCGCTCTACACATTGTCCTGATGTCGGACCAACAACTTTATCACTGAAATTACCTTTTCTGTGTCCCCAACTGCATCAACAAGAAAAAAAGATGGGTTCTGTCAAGTATACAGGGTTTTTTTGAAGTCTTGCAACTATGAAAGTTTCCACTTGGTTTTTTTTTAATGCATGGCAAGAGTATGTATTTTCACATTTTTTGTCACATTGTGTTTTACATGTTTACAGTGAGAGACCGGAAGAATCGCTCTCGTCTCTTGTCAAGCCCAAGAACAAGACCTACTTCTGCCATGATGTACACTGACATGCAACATTATGAGGACGTTCTCAATGTAAGTTTGTGGGCTTGTCAAAACTCTATTTGCTATGTCCTGAGCTGAGAAGGCATTGTGAAGGCTCCTGTCTAGCCACTGCTCAGTCAGTGGCATACTTTAAGGGTATCTGTGAACAAATTTACATAGAAGAAGTTGACACTCGTGAATTGACCTTTGAGCATGAACAGCTCATGCTTTTCAGTTGAAGGGCTAGGTCAAGACAAAACTTAACGCCTTATCTCCAGCAGGCTGCTCCCACGGCTCTCAGTCGGAATCGTTGTGCCAGTGAGCCGCTGGCAGCAGCTCGGGCACGTTCCTTTAAGACGACTTGGACGTCAAATTATTTTTCGGCAAAGGTCTCTTTTACGGGCCATTTAGTCATTAGATGAAAAACTGTTGAAATAGGTTCAATTTTTTAAATTTAACAACCAGTCTAGTGATGTTACATATCAATTTTAGATTTTGTAAATCCCCCTCGCGAATAAAGAGTTAAAGAGTATATTATATAGTCAATTTTATTAGGTCACAGTTAAATCATCTGCTTCGTTCACCCACAATATACCAATAAGATGCTCTTGGTTTACTACCAGGCTGCACAATATGAAATTTCTGAAAAAGAAAATGTAAAGAGATAGGCAATAGATGATGTTGTGATGAGGTGTTTTGATTTTTTTTTAAATGTAATTATAAAATGTTTATGTTCCCTTTGACACTATTCATATCATTTAGGAGGTGGGCTGCTTTGGCTTTGCCTGTCAAGGCCCACCCAGACTGGGAATGATATGTCCTCGGAGAAAGATGGAGATGCTCAATAAAAATGCTCCCCACTTGAGGATCAAACTCACGTCTCTGCATAATAAACACTACATCACAGACACCAATTAAATATTAAAGAAATGGAAAAAGGTTCTGCGGGGTATAGTGATGGTAAAGTAACAGTTGTTCAAGATATCTGACCGTAGTATGATCAGACTTTTTGCGTAAAATTTGGAGGTAGTCTGGATATAACCATGAATATGTTGCATTAGCTGCTAATAATTTCTTCTAATTCTATCCTGTTCTAAACTGTTATGATATTTCAAGTTTTCTCGATTTGTAACTGGCATAATTTTAGTTCATTTAATGAGAAAAATCAGTTCACGGAACAAAATCTTAATATCATTTCTACAGGATGAACCAGAGGATGAGGAAGAAAGATTGGTTCACTCCATCATGAAATCAACACTGGTTGACAAACCCAAGGGCAGCAATAATGCGACCTATGGCTCCGAGTCAGCCACAGATTTCCAAGAGCAGACCACTTATGCATCACATAATGGCCGTGGTCTGATGACACACCCTCAGTACACACACACACTAGGGGCAAGTACACGTCCCATGTCGGCGCGTTCCGCACGCTCTGTGGGCTCAGCCACCAGCTCCATGCGTGTGCCAGTCGGTACGCATGACCAGACCAGGATTACGTATAATGGAGATATACTGGAGAAGAGAGCACACAAATTTACTGAGCCCGATCGTCCGTTTACACCTCGGACAAACATTAGCAATCATGAATCGAGACTTAAGTCGTCAAAGTGCTACAACCCCCCAAAACCAAAACCTGCTGGGAAGAAAGTGAATGGGGCTGATGGCGTTAAGGAAAGGAGCAGAGGTCCTGCGAAGAACGAGGCAGGTATGGGGAGGTCAAATCAAGAGCTCAGAGATACCATGGAGACATCCCAGCTTTCAGAGTCAATGTTAATGGACATAACGCTGAGAAGCCGAGATGACCGACACGAACAGGCCTCCGATGGTCAGGTTCCCAGACTGGACATCTCTATGGACAAAGATCACCTCAACTGGCTCCAGGAGCAGGCAAGCAAGGCTAAAGTTCGAGCCCGCAGTGGTGCCCAGATTCCCCAGTCGCATCTTGTGGGTGACATATCCACCATTAAGGAGGAGCCTTCTGACCGGAGTGGAAGCAATTCTGTCCGGAAGGAAACGTTGAAAAAGTAACTGTTTTTCTTTTCTTATTTAAGGGTCGTGGATGTTAGACAGTAACCTTTCATTTGGTTTCCTGCTAAACATTTCCTTTTTCAAACTGAGGACAATCTTTTTTTTTCCCCTGCTAGAACCTTTTCATTTTGACTGAAGGAAACCTTTTTTTATCCAGCTGAAAAACTGACAAGCTGAGAGAAGCCTGGTAGAGTTTTTGATAACTAAGGTACTGGATGTTTATAAGGAAATCCAAAGTTCTTTTAACTGGTTTATGGAATGCTGGTCTTATTGCAAGAAATGCTGCTATTTGATGATTGTTAATTCACGCCTAGAAAACTGGTAATTCCTAGTTGTTGTTTTTTTCGTCCCGAAAGTATAAAACATGCTATACATCCTCTATTTTTTAAACATAATTCACCTATAGGTCAGTTTGCTTCTTTTCAATTGCAGTCAATTTGATTTGTGTTTTCACGTAAAATTTTGTCCTCCGTTTGAATTGTTCAAAAGTTCAAATGCTAAAATATATCACACATATATACTCATTCTTGTGAGCTCCATTTTTATTTTTTTCAACCTCCTTGCTGATACATGTCTTCTTTGGTTGTTTTTTAGTAGCAGCACAAGTATATATATATGATTTCAAGAATGTGTTAATATGTATGTCGCAAAACAGCACATTGAGATGAAAAGCACCCATACTAACCTTTGATATGGGGGGGGGTTGGGGGGGGTTGCCGTTGGATTGTAGCTTGGAGGAAAGATTGAAGTTGATAATTGGATAGGACCAAACCTTTTCTTTGAAAGACGAAAAATTATTGCAATGAGGTAAGGGAGGGGGGCGGGGCACATGGTGAGGCTGAATATCAGATATCTTAAAGAGCCGTTGCGGTTTTTTAAACTGAGTTGAAAGGTACTTGTTTTCATTGCACAATTTATTATCTTTTTTTCCCTTTCTTAGCACAAATCTATACAGAGCACAGCTGGTGGCAACTTTTTCCCGCCTGATCAGGTTTTTTTAACTGCCTATGTTAAGAGAGTTGAGGATCCATTGTAAAATTAGCAGGCCTACTGAAGTATTTACTATTTATCCTTTAAATTGGCTGACAAATTAAGTAGGCCTATTGAAGATGTTAGATTCAGAAAAAAAAATAACATTTCAATTTTTTAAAATCAGGTCTTGTGGAAAGAGGGGGCGGGGGAATTCATTATATAATAAAGCGCTTAACTGAAAGGTCATTGGTTATGTTCTAACCTTTGTTAGACTCAAATCAGAATAAGGATTACGATTAACTTGGGAGAAATTGCACTGTGGCAAGTGGCAATCAAAGGGCCAATCACAGTGTAACTTTTGTTTTGGGTCACCCCAGTCTGAATCATGTATCCATACTGAGAAAGAACAAAGTCAGTACAGTAGTCTCCGCCTAAGATCCTGGTGCTCGGGAGCCAGGAAAATGCAGGATTTTAGGCGAACCGGGATCCTAGCCGAAAAGCCAGGGGGAAGAATCCACAATTTAGTCATGGTCAGGCCCAAAATCTGTACAACGATCTTCCTTTACTTTAAAAAGAATTGACGTGACCCCTGGGCACTAAAAGTTCTTTTCAGAAGTCAGTTTTTCCTTTTCTTTTTTTTTTGGTTTGGGGAGGGGGCTTTTTAAAAAGTACTGTGTCAGGTGGGAACCAGTTGGCTTCAAGCAATGCCCCTCACCAAAAATGTATAGCTTTCCATCTCCCACGGAGTTCCCCGCCCATGTCATGATGCTTCATAAATCGTTGTGTTGTGACCACACCGACCAAATTTTTAAAAGATGAAAGGCAGGTTTACTGCCAACAGATGACCCCATTACGCAAAGGCGATCGGACAGTCCACGAGTATGGGCGCCAGTCTGTCTAGGAAGTTAGAGCGCAAAATTGAAAGACGAGAGCGATGGTCGGGAAAACATAAGCGCCTATGAGTTCACAGTTTGATGGAATGCAGTCTTAACGCTTGCTTGTAGGCCCTCCCCACCTATTGTGTGATGTAAGATCAAGTGGACGGCTCAGGTGATCTGGGAAAACAAGGCATCGACGATTTCACATCTTGGTGCAGTCCCATCTGGGGTAAACATTGTAACTGCTTATCGACATTTACAACACAGGTGTGATCGCATCCATGAGAGTGAATGATCCATGACGGACCATACAATGATCGCACATTTTGGCTACTTGGTTGATCAGCTGAGCGCGTCCAAGTTTTTTATTCTTTTTTTTTTTCTTAAATAAAAAAACCCAACTAAATTATGGCCTGAAAAGTGGGATCTTAGCCGAATGTAGCTCCTTCAGTGCAGGATCTTAAGGGTGACTTTTATGTAGAAAAAATTATGTTTTTCCAAAACAGCGGGATCTTAGGCGAACCAGGACTATAAGCGGTGGGATCTTTGGCGGAGACTTCTGTACTTATATAAAGAAAATGACTCTCCTTCCCACCCCAACTCAGACTGCGCTTTCGAAAACGAAGAAAAGCTACAGCAGTATCTTTTGTTTATTTTCTGTCATAATAGTGTCAAGTCCTGCATTTTTTTATTGCCGGAAATTGAATCAGTACAGGGTATCCTATCACTTCAGAACAGAAGAAAAGATTAATGGAGCATAGCTGGTGTTTGCAGTTCCGAAAATAATGGATGTATAACTGGTCCATATTGGTAATGAAAATATTATTGATGATGATAAATGAGTCAACAAAACACTTGTATCTGATGCTCTAAAACCGGTTTTTAGGTGCTCTACATCATTTTTACAAATATCTATGACTTGCTAAAAAAAAACTTTTTCTGAGGTACATACCACTCAGTTTTCTAACAAAGACACTCTGACTGCTTTTTTCAGAATCTCTGGTGACGGTCTCATTTTGCTTTAACCCTTTCAATAGCAGGACCTTTCTGTAATTTTAACTTGGGACTTGGGACCTGAAACAGATTTGGGCAATACGATGTAGGGGTTAAACCTATTTATATTACGTTAACCATTAAGTATTTCTTACTTTTTATGTAGAAGATCATTCATGGATATAAGAATGTAGATTAAAGGAGCATTATTTAAATATATATATATTCAGTGAGTACAAATGTTTATGACATGTCTTATAGAGAGTGGATAAGGTTTTCTTTTGGACCTTCCTTTATTAAGTCATTTTATGTTCATAATGTATATGATCTTGCTCTCAGGACCATATCACATAACAGGTATGTTTCCATTGCGACCCTCCTGTAACAATAATCATTTTGTACCCCTTAAATGTTTGATGTAAACTTTAGTAACTTATTTATGGAAGTAGTAGTCTGCCAAAGTATTTCTCTGTGTTTTCGCTTTTGTCCCATCATCTTGATTTTTTGCTCATCCCAAACTTTATATCTCTGTACTGCCATTTCTTTAGCTCTCTCTGCTTTGAAATATCTCTCCAAGGCAAGACAGTATTTTAATGCTGTCCAGGCTGTGTGACACAGGTGTCTCTGTTTTCTTTTTTTTGTCACTCTACACTTGTGTAATGTACAATCACAAGTAGCCTTCAATTTTGAATCTTTATTTATGGGGTTTGCTTACGGATTCAAGGTGTTTGTCCAAATTTGTCAAATATTTCAAAGCTCTCCACAGTGGCTAAAGAAATGCTGTATTATTTAAGATTGATATTTACATGTAAAAAGGCTATTATATTATCCATCTATCTTTCTCTCTGTATTTATTTCCAATGTGTTTGGCTTTGTGGTGGGAAGAGGGCATAATTATTGTTCCACAAAATTTAATCCTAACAGTTTCTCCTATGTGTAGCACCTTCTGGTTGAGTCATACTCATTTATAAGGAACTTCTCTAACACACACACACATTCATGTGAACACACACACACACACACACACACACACACACACACACACACACACACACTCTCTCTCTCACACACACACAAACACATACACACACACCAATGTCTGCTGAGGGAAATTCATGGTTTTGGGGCTGTAGGGCATGCCTGATGGACATTAAAATTGGGTTGACCGAAAGCATAAAACTTCGCCTTACAATTCATTCTGTGTAACAGCCCAATCTTTCATAAAGCTATCAGAATTATGATAGTTCCTCTGTTAAAATCTGTTTTGTTAGGAAAACCCAGAACTCTTTACTTACCCCCCCCCCCCCCCCCCTCCTTCCACTCCTTTCATTTTAGACAACACTGTACATGTATATATATGGCAGGCTAGTGTTAAAGGCTGTATTCTGCTATTGTAGATCTATAATTTATTTTGTCTAAGTCCTTGTTTTCCGAGTATACCTCAATGGCTCAGCCTCAAGCTGCAAGAAGAGTGAGTAAAGGTTTTAATTGGTACCGTTTTTGCCCTTTTATTTGTTTTATTGGAGTGGAAAATTGAGTTCTGTTCCCACCTGGGGTCGGATGGAGGGTGCCTCTGTCAGAGCCAGTTTTTTTTTTTTTTTCCATCTGTTGTTTCTGTCTTTCTGTCTCTCTATTTTCCTGTTCCTAATGGCCAGTATTGTGTCGATGTGTTTCTCTTTACTCCGCCACGCTCTACTCTATTCCCTGTAAATGGGCAAAGTAAGGACATTGTATCGAGATGCTGGTTCTTTTTCTAACAAAAATTTATTGGCATCGGCTGATACATTTTTAGAGTGACAGATTGAATGAGAACTCTTTAGTCGGCTTATATAGATGAATATCGAAATCTCTTTTTTTACCACTTGTTTTCTGTCTATTTATGCAGGCACGTTTGATTTTTTAAATGCCTGCTGTGTAAAGAAGTGAATGTGTCCAGTATGGGTTTTTTCTTTGGCATTATCGTTTATTTGTTATGATTTATGTTTCTCTTACATTTTGTTGGACATTGTTCGTTTGATTTCTAACTTTTACATTGGAGAGGCCACAAAATCCAGGGTCATTATACTTGTGGAGATGGTAATTCAACAACATTATGGAGTGCCGGTTCTTGGAATGTTATTGCTGGTGAAAAAAAAAATATGACTCACTTTCGCCTAAATGCGGCAAAGACTGTAAATGTTTTCTCGGGTTCTTTATTGAATTTATTACATCAATTGAAACATCAAAGTGATGAGATTGGAGGAGGATACAAACATATTATAAAGCAGGAGAAACCATATATATAGCCTACCATGCACATTGCAAAATCTGCAGGACACAGAAATTTGTTCACCCTGTTTGAATTTCAGTATGCTCAAATATCAAGTTATATATATATATATATATATAAGCAAAAATTCAGGACCTTAGAATCTATTTCTTACATGCTTGTTAGTTATGTGCATGCTAGGCTGTATGTCTGTTTCGTTAGGACTTTAAAGCCGCCATACAAATTTTTATTAGTTTTATTTTATAACACTACGAGTATTTGTTCTGGTTAAGGGTTGAAACACAATATATCTGATTAACCAACCCTCTTTCTTTTTTTTCTTTTTTTTAAGTTCCTTAACTTTACTCATGTACAGTTCTTTTGGCTTTTGATCCAAACTTGTTTCTGGACTTTCATTAATGTGTGTCCCATTGATATCTGCCCCCACCCACCAAAAAAAAAAAGATTTCACAGCTCTGAATACCTTACTTCTCCAGTTTTGATTAAATAAACAAAGCTAGTATAGTTTGATTATTTGTATTAAATTGTTCAATCAAATGGACTTTTCATATTCATTCCAAAATAATTCGATTACAGGTGCCACTGCATGTCCAGTTATTTCTTATAGAGTCATTTTATATATAACATTATTTTGCATACAATAAATATCCAAAAACTGAGAAAATCTCAGAAAGTAACGCTATGGAGAGGCGTTGGATTACGAAGAAGAAATTTTTAATAGTACATTTATCGTATCGTTATTTGTCATTTTTACCTCTTTATAAAAATACAGAACTAGATTAAGGTATTACATTCAGAAACAGTAATGGTGCTTTTTTGTATTTTTATAGCTGAGTACAGAATTCTACATGTAGTCTCCCATATTACTCAGGGGAGGTTTTTAGCCCTTTTTCTTTTTTTCTTTTTTCTCATGCTCTGCATTGTCAGCTTTGAGAGTTCACGACCTGAGAACTATAGAAAGGAAACAAACAGCTCATGCTCTACATTGTCAGCATTGAGAGTTCACGACCTGAGAACTATAGAAAGGAAACAAACAGCTCATGCTCTACATTGTCAGCTTTGAGAGTTCACGACCTGAGAACTATAGAAAGAAAACAAACAGCTCATGCTCTACATTGTCAGCTTTGAGAGTTCACGACCTGAGAACTATAGAAAGAAAACAAACAGCTCATGCTCTACATTGTCAGCTTTGAGAGTTCACGACCTGAGAACTATAGAAAGAAAACAAACAGCTAGGCAAAAATGACATGAATTTTAATGTTATGTGGCTCAAAACTTGTTTTCATGAATTATTAATGTATAACTCTAGGTATATATATATATTATATGATAGTTGTTGAACACGTATTTCCTTTTTCTTGAAATTTGTTTACCTGACGAATCACTGAAGTTCTATCAGGCTTTATAAATATATTTGAAAATAAAATTGAAAAGGAAGATCATTGTTCTGTCTCGGTTTTGTTTGGGGTTCTTTTGTGTTCCTGGGATATGTACTAAACCTAACACATAGTACAAAAGTATGGTGATTTTGACTATCTTGTCTTTTGCCCATTTCTCATACTGAACAGAGTAGTTTAAATGAAATTTAATTTTTCACCCTTTTCTGTATCATAGTCATAACTTTTTATCCGCTAAGCAAAGTCTAATATTGAAAGTTTAGCAAAATGAAAGGTGCTGTTTTCTTCTTTTTTTTTTACTGCAATCACTTTAAAAAGTTTTTTTTAATGAAGATGCAGTATCGGTTCTGCCAATGTTATGGAAATTCAGAATGTAATGGAATAGTGCCTTTTTACATGTAGAGAAAAAAAACCCACTTCATTTTACCTTTACAAACATTTCCTCAAGATGTTGATAGAACAACCCTAGAATGACACATTATGTACAGACACTCTGATACATATCATTTATTCTATTTCAAACTCTTGAGATTAGGATCAGTAACTGAAGAACAGGTTTCCAAAAATACTTTTTTTCTGTTTTTGACTGCTGCAGAGAAGAGGAGCAGAAATATCTGGCTTTTGCTAAGGAAGTCACAGATGACGTCCTGACAAGAGGCATCAGCACGGACCGGTAAGCACCTCTCTCTCTCTCTCTCTCTCTCTCTCTCTCTCTCTCTCTCTCTCCCTCTCCCTCTCCCTCTCCCTCTCCCTCTTTCCCTCTCTCCCTCTCCCTCCCTTCAGTGCATCTTCCAGCTTTTGCAATATGTCCATCAATTTGCCTTGCTGACCAGTTTATGAAGTTACACATCACAAATTGGATCCATCAATCTAGCTATTACTTTCCATTCTTTTTGTCTTTCAGCCTACATTCATATCATGAAATGCCTTGTGCCTTGCTACATCTTATCTCTTGTGATGGGTGACTTAAATCATTCATAAAGCTTTGTTGATGTTGATTAATTTGGACAATAAATAATATACAGTAGTTTTAGTAGTCCTAAATTACAAAGTACTTGAGGAAGTTTGTGATATTGGAGATTATGAAAGAAAACTAAGCTTGCATGAATCTATGAAATGAAAACTTCAGCAATTATAAAAAAGTAACCACTGTGATATTTGAAGGGAAGAGTGATTAACTGACAATGTCCAAATATATATATATACCATTATCAAAGAAGAGTGATTTATCAGAATTTCAAGAAAATTTCAAAACCCCAGGGCACCTCTGTACCATTTTTGGGAAATGCTTATCACTTACATAGCAGGACAAAATGAAATGCGATTAACAAAGAGTAAAAAGACTTCCACTAAAATTAATTCTTATTAGGATTTATAAAATGGCTCTTTTGCTATTTTGGCACTATGCTTCATATTTAACTGACAGTTTTAAAGTCTTGTGAGCCTCCCATAGCACTGGTTCTGATCTGCAGTATGTTGTATATTCCTACCTGTTTTGGGCTAGCTTCCCCTAGAATAATTTGTTTTCTTTCCACAGAGTTTTGAATCGTGTGTTTGAAAACCACATTGCAAGGAGGAAACATGATCTGGATGAGGTAATTTTTAGTTTTGAGTTTCGGGGCAGGAAGGCAGTCAACATAATATGACTGACAGACAGATAAATATGGTTTCCATGGCAAAGTAGTTGGGTATTACACGGACTGGACACTGCCCTGGCTTTGTTGATTTTTTTTTTCTATGCTTGACTAATGCCAAAAGAAAACTTGTACAGATTTAAATGAAAAAAGTCAATGATCAAGGTTTCGAAGAGAAATTTAATCCCTGATACAAAAACGGTCTCTGTTATGGAAAAAAACAACATGATGCAGAAATGACAAACAAAAGAAGCAAGACAGTGTCACACACCAGTGTTCCACTACATCATACTTCATGCAATATTATTATGTACTTTGAAAGATGCAGTTTGGGACTCTGTTGTAGTTGTACATACAGTGGAAACTATCTAAGACAGCCACCCATTGTTGAGGGGAAAAGTGGTCATATAAAACAGGTGGCTGTCTGACACTTTGTCGTTATAATGAAAAAAATATCCAAGAGAGAAAATGAGAAGTGGCCATTTGTACAGGTGATTCGTCTTGTACAGGTGGCTGTGACTGTACTTCACCTGAAAAGAATGTACAACTGGGCCACCCTTATGCAAGTGACCTTAATATGTTGTCTAGTAAGCTTGTAATGATGAGTATCTGCAGTAAGCTTCTCCTGTCTTTACTTTGAGTGCGCTCCCTTCCCCCCCCCCTCCCTTTCCAGCCAAAACAAAAGATGAAAAAAAAATTTGATACTTCTCTATCTTTGTATTACTTTTAATCATGTTCCTTTTTTATTGAAAAGAGATTTGAGGAATAAGTTCAGAGTATCCTGTTTGTGTCACGTTGTTATGTGACCATTGTAGTTTTAGAAGAGGTAAAATGAATCCGATATCTTAATTCTTGTCTAGCCTTTGAAATATTAATCATTGTAAGTGGTTGTCCTGTTTATCTAATTACAGAAAAAAAATGACTTTTTTAATCTCTTAGAGTGGGGAATGGGTGGGGACCAGGGGAATGCTTGACAGGTTGTTCTGCATTCAGTGCTTATTCATAATATAATTATTAATACCACTTCACTACTAACTTATCGGATTTTCTCCTCCAGACTCGCATGCGAAGCGTTATTCGAGACTTGAAGAAAGACCTTGGCTTGAGAGATGGCAGTCAAGAGAGACGACTCGATGAGACTCTGGCTGACATCAACTACAACAACAAGGCCAGGAGCATGAATGGCTTGAGTCACACAAGTAGCAGTGATCATCAGCCAGGCAGTGAGAAGTCTACCATGAAGGACGAGACCCGCTCCTTCTCCCAAACAAACGGCTACACTATGACCAGTTTGGAGCCACTTAACAACAACACCACTTCCGAAGCAGAAATGAGCACAACACTGGATTCGACATCTACTATGAAGTTTGGCCGCACCGCTGATGTTTTCAGCACGATAAATTCTGAAGCGACACTGGAGGAGAGAGAGGCACGGGAGGGGGATGAGTTAAGTGCTACTCAAGCTCTGAAGCAGTATCAGTTTAACCTGACTGTCAAGGAGGCTGGAGCAGACTGCAGTGAAAGTGCAGTGGAATCTGCAACTAATGGTCGGGAGACGGATGTCTCTGAAAAATCTCAGAAGTTAGAACGTCCTGCCACAGGGGAGAGAAGGTTGTCTGAAGGGGAAGAATCTCCGTCCGATGCATCAAGCTTTACCCCGTCGCCAGCTGATCATGCTCACCGAGCAAGGCGAAGGGAGAGAATGAAGAAGTCGAAGGGAACAGCAGAGCTCGGAGAACAGCCTATGAGCTCAAACTCAAGATCTTCATCGGGGACAGTTTCCAATAATGTCAGAACAACCACTGACGATGTCTACAGCAGCGAAATGTCGGGACAAACATCTGGCCTCAGTGGTACACATACGACCCTGACAACAACTTCTGACCATAATGGAAGTACCTTGACCCACTCAGAAGAGGTCAACGGCATTTCAGGAGGCAGTGGTGGGTCTCTGAGACCGACCGCGAGGCGTAGAGGTGGCTCTCGAAGTCAGGTGATAGCAGAAGACCCTGAGTCCTCTTCCGGGATGGGAGAGGAAGAGAGAGGGAAAGACAGTCTGTCTCGTGACAACAGAGCCACTGACATGTTTGATCAGGGAAGTTCTGTTGGAGGAGAAGCTTCTGGTGCTGATGATACTGAGACACGTGGTAAATCTGAGAATGGTGCAGTTGAAAGACATGATGGGTCTAGTACAAGAGAGGAAAAAGAGAAGGAAGAGGAAGAAGATTATGATTATGAAGATGACTATGATGCAGATGAGGATGATGGGCAAGGTGTGTCTACTCACCGTACCTCTGACGATGACTTCTGAGTTTATTTTAAGAAGAAGTTTGTATATATATAACAGTATTGCACTGTACTCCTCTTGATCCATCTAAAAATGTAACATTGTTCACAAATCCATCCAATTTGTCTCACAGTATTTGAGTTGCACATTTCTGTCTCACAACTGATCATATAAGCTCAAATGTGATCATTCAATGTAAAATGCTTTTTTTCTGTCCTTGTATTCTTTTTAGTAGTAGTGGTAGTGTGTAGGTCAAAGTTTAATCATGCATATATTTAGATACATATTTTTATACACAAATGTAAAGGTTCAGTTATGGCTTAGACTCGGTGTGTATTGAATTGAGTTGATTCAAATCCTTTTTATTCATTTTTCTTCACGTCTATTCTGGTGTTTTTGTGCCTTCAAACTGCTCTTTGTGGACAAGATTAATTCACTTACATTCTATTGTTTATGTTTGCATGTATATACATGTATATGTAGCGGGGTATGTATTCAATTCAGAACCACTTTCTGCACCACTTTCTGCAAAACCCTCTGCTAGAATCAAGACCAAGATTTTTCTTTTGGAAAAAAAGAACCTCAGCATTAGTAATGCAGGGGTTCGCACGTTTGTGTCTCAGCAATAAGAATTACATACACACATTTTGTCTGGAACTGGCAACATATGTTGTAAGTGTAATGAATCCACTGTGCCAGGATCAGTGCTTATGACAAGTGTTGTGATTTCAAACTTGTGTATTTCACACCCAGCCATAAGGTAGACAAGGAATCTAGACACTGTCTGACTATAAAAATACACATATCAATGGTAAAGTATTTTTCCTTGTTTGTATATTTTTTTGCTGCGATCCGGATTTAGAAAGTCCTCTTTTTTTTCAAAATCACTGTAGAATGTAATTTTTTAAATTGTTCTCTCAGTTTTCTGTGTTGTGCACTCACTGATTTGCTGCTGAGAAAGATTTGAGTGCTGTGACAATGAACCTGTCTCAGTCTTATAAGTTATCGACAGGATGGTTTACCAGTGTTAGTGTTGGTTTGAGTGAGAGTTTAACAGCACTCACAACACAAATAGGTCATAAAAGTGCTGAAGATTAGAGGTGTAACTTGAGAGTAACATGCAAAGAAAAGATGGAGGAGAGATAAGGACAATAGACGATTGATAGGAAAAAAGGAATGAACTACGCCAGAGCACCCGCCAACCACTCATATGGTTGAGCATAAGGATCACTGGACATATTAACCCTATCCGCACCCCTGAGGTCAGGTTGTACCCCAGGGGTTGGGGTTTTTTTTTCGCATTTTAAAATACTTCTAGTGCAAAGATCTCTTCGAAACTTTCAGTGTTCCTCAAATAATCATTTTGACAGATTGCTATGCAAAGCAAATCGCAATTGATAATGTATCTTTTTGACCAGTGATCCCATTTCAAAACGACCTTGTTTGTGCCCAGTTGGGTCATTTTTCACTTGGGTACACTTGTAGAAATGTTTTGCCTTTCATTGATGATGGCAGATAGATACTCCTTTTACTGGCCAGGTCTGTCTACATGCCTGCCGTTAGCTCAGTGGGTACCAAGCTGGACTACGAGGCGGATGGCCTTGGTTTGAATCCCGAATGAGGCATTCTGAATTTGGGTTGTTTTGAGAAGGTTTTTTATAAGCTCCCCACCCACTGGCTTGACTTGTTAAATTTGAAGGTCCCGCCTCTTAGATAACCTTACTGTGTTAAACTTTTATACACAATGACCAATGAGGTCTGTCTACAGCTCGTATAATAATTACTACATGTACATCATTCCATCTTAAGAACCCTAAATGATCTCATAATACGCAAACATGATTTGATCCATATATTTTCTGTCTGTGTTGTTCTCTACCTCAGTTCTTTTGTTGAGCCTTCACTCTGTGACTCCTGCTTCTGTCTGTCAGTGTATATTCTATTTTCTATTTCTATCAGAAGATTCGTCTCTTCGATATGTGCCTCATATGCACGCATGCACAGACACACACATGCACACGCACACACACACACACACACACACACACACACTTATACACACACACACGAGCACTACATGCTCACTCACGTATGTACATATACACAGAAAGATACAATATAATGTTCTTGTATGAATAAATGAATATAATTTATGAACTTTAATATTTGTCCCCTTTTTTCCAGCCTTCTTTCACAATCATTCTTCTGTTAGATCTATATTGCATAACTTATAATTGAACCTATCTTAAGTGTTCGATTTTTATTCATTACCCACACTCCTACAAATAACTTTTACAGTTTACAAAAGTGCACATTTTATCCAATGTGTTGATTACACCAAACTGTGTACATGTATTAATTAATAAGGATTAGACTTCTGTCTTGTATACTGCTGCTGAAGACGTCTTTCAACTGGCTCTCCTGTTCTGTTTTTACGTTCCTGTTTTTTTTTCAAACCGTGCAACTGATCTTGTGATATTTGATGGTGACATCATTTTTACTTTTTTTATGGTGACATGTGCTTTAGAATAAAGCTGGGTTTGTTTTAGTTTCAAAATTTGATGTTGGAGTTTGTTTTTTTACGGCGTCATCATCATCCCAATCTTCATCCCCGTTCGCCAGTGTGATTTTACTGAATCTGTTGTATTTTGGGTGGTGGTGAATGCCTGTTTTTAATTGTTTTTTTTTTTTCTTTTTCGGGGGAGGAGGTGTATTGTATTTTAATTTTTTTAAAGATTCTTTATTGTCTTTGATTTAGGGCTTTTTAGTTTGGGGTACTTTGTTTAGTTGTTTGTCTGGGGTGCTGGTTATGTCATGTCACACAAACTAAGCTGAGGGGTTGTATAATATCTTCTTCACACCATTACACTCTGTAGGTATGGTTAGGACCCGTGGTGCCACTCAACATACCTTCAGCTATCTGTATCTCTCTCTCTCTCTCTCTCTCTCTCTCTCTCTCTCTCTCTCTCTCTCTCTGTCTCTTTCTCTCTCTCTCTCTTTCTCTCTCTCTCTCTCTCTCTCTCTCTCTTCTCCCACGCCTCGCTCTCCCTCTCCCTCTTCTTGTCAGTTTCTCCGTTGTAACTCCATATTTTTAAATCAAAATTTTGGGCTTAATACGTTTTAACAGTTGGCCAACGAATTGATCCCTTTGAAACGATAAAGCTATCGCAAACTCTTGGGAATCAAATAGACCCCTAGTAGGTCCATACCCAACTTAAAACCAACATAGCTAAAGATAAAATACCACAGAGGCCATCCGTAAACATGAAAAGCTGCTTGACATTAGAAGTGTGATCGTGGATCACTTGTAATTGTAACAGTCAGGCCGTTGGTTCGAATCCCATCAGAAATCCGACGTTTTGTCCTTGGGGAAGACACGTTTCACAAATATTCCCCACATCACTCAGGTGGGAAAGGATACCCACCTAGAGAAGCGAAAGCTCCTATCAGCGTGTTCCCAAAGCCCCAAAATCTGGAATGCTTTACCAGGTACTTTAAGAGAGATCAAATCTTTTAATTCATTCAAATGTCAGCTGAAGTCGTTTCTGTTTTTAAAATAATAAGATGAATATTTGGAGTAAGTTTCTTTTAGTCAGAACACAAGGTTTTATGTTACTGTTGTACGTTGTACTATATTGTAAAGCGCTCGGAGCCTGTGTACTTTAAAGGGTTTGGGCGCTATATACATGTCATTTATTATTATTATTAGTGGTGGATGGAGTGTTTAATGTTTAATCAGCTTTGGCACTGTATGCTTTCCAGAAAGTCAAGAATGTTTTTGTGTGTACTACGGTCTGCTGGATGCCAAATACACAATATTACACCATGAATAATCTTACAAACATGCTATTTTTGTCATGTCTTGTTCAAGGACACAGACCTCAGGGAATGCTGCAACACTGACATCCACACCTCTTGTACCTATTGCAGGGAGTGTGTAAGATATAGGGGATAGAAGAAGAAAAGAAGGAAGAGCTATTCAAGGGAGAGTGAGGATGGGTTAGTGCGAGTCACTGCTTGTGTGATACGACAAACGGGCGGGTTTTGCCCTCTGCACCGGCCTGTTCTCATATATTGGGCTATTCATGTGTATGGGATTATAGCACCCAATATGTGGTCACACTCTTATTTTTTCTTTTTTTCTTTTTTTTTTTTTTTTTTGGGAGGGGGGGTAAGTTTTTACGGCGCTCGCAACTGCATTAGATCTAGGCCGTATGAGCGCGCAGGATACATTAAACATTATTTTCAGTTGGAAGGAAATTTTGAATTTTGCCCGGGTGGCGGCCGAAGCCTACTCTTATCGATTTTGGACCACGGAGAGGTTTTTAACGCGCGCAACTTGCACACGGGACCACCGAGATTTTTCGCCCTTATCCGAGAAGGCTAGGTGTATATCTTTCCTACCATAAGATCATGGGTTTGGCTGAAAGACAGCCGTAAGGGGGAGCCAAGGAGAAGCAGTAGAAAGGCTGAGAAGAAAGTCAGAAGCTCATATGAGGGTGCAAAGGAGGTGAGGGAGAGGGGCAGAACGTGGAGACGAACGCAGACGACAGAACATTGTTAGAGGGCAGGAAAGGATGGATGTGAAAAGAGAAAATTTTAGAAAAGAAAATGTTCCTTCGTTTTCCGGATTCGAACCCTGGACCTATTGAATGAGAGGCGAACACCTTATCCTCGAGACCACGAGAGCCCCTGTCGCACCCTTAGATGGTTCTGTGAACACATGGTCGCCACGGTTGGCGTTCTTAAAGACACAACAGTGCATGAGAGGCCTTGGTCATAAGGTTTACTATTAATTATTTTTGTGCCAACAGCATATAATTCCAAGTTGTGGAGGAAGGAAGCGTCGGTGAACGTTGAGGAAACGGTTAAGAGCAGCAGCAAAAGCTTCAGTGGCGATCATCGTATGCTCCTTGGCTGTGAGTGGCCCTGTGTTCGCACCAACAAGCCATTTTAGGCGACGGAGTGCATGTATGGTATTCAACCCAGGCCTTCCTTGGCCCATAAAACCAGCTTAAAATTGTAAAAACAAGAAAAGTTAAACGGTTTGGCCATATATAAGAAGACGCAGTGAACTACGAAGAAATCTTACTACAAGGCACGGTGTCCGGCGTAGAGGGGGGGGGGGGGGGGGGGGGGGCAGGGAAGACAAAAGAAAAAGTGTCAGAACAGCATCTCTGAGAGGACAGGGAGGGCAGTCAGGATCGTGAGGGGTGGAGACGTGTCGTGACATCCTCACCAACAAAGCCCCAAACAGGACAGACGTTTAGCTAAGTAGGAGGAACAAGCAGTGTACGAATTATATATTGAAAGAAAAGTCATTTTGAAATATTCCCTGCCAATCTCATTACTGATGAGAATTTTTGGATTCCCAAAAGTACTGTTTTCTCATGTTGCATTTAATTCTCTCTCTCTCTCTCTCTCTCTCTCTCTCTCTC